ACACTCTGAGAGGCTGAGAAAAATGCTGGTGGCAGACATTCAAACTTCAAAGTGTTGACCTCCTTACTCAGTAGGTGTTAAAACGGCATTTCTGAAATTGGAAACACCATATCATAAAGGAACAACAGGTTTTTTGACTGCCCACTTCAGGCTTACGTGGACTATTCTTTTACTGAGCACACGTAGGGCTGCAGCAACTCTCCCAGCATCCTCATCTGCAGCAAATGACCAGCAGGTCAACCCTCCTCCACATTCCAAAGCTCACCCGAACAACCCACATAACTCAGGACCATTAGAATGGACATTATTAAGCTATAGTTGGGGCAGCTCAGGGCAGCCTGTGTACTGACGTACTAATCTCTCAGACAAACTTAGAGAAGGAACTAAAGGTTTAAAAGCATTCCCCTTCCGATCTGGGGAGAGCATTTTCAACAAAAGCCTTGTATTTTAAGAGCTAGAGAAAGCAGAGCATAGGAATTTGCAGCATGAAATAGTCACTCTGTGCTTACTTTTCAAGTATCCTGTTCTAAATACTTAGGAGAACAAGTCTACTCCATATGTATACACACCTGTTTCTGCTCATGTTTTAATATTCTGTCATTTCACAGAAGAGTATGTTGCTAAAATATCTGTTTAATGGTTTGGATTCTCAACACGTTTATGTTCTGAGTTCAAAAGATCTAAATAAAAAAATAGTTTTAGTTAAACAGTGAGGTGGCAGTGAAATTATTTACTGTTGGAAAAAAGGGCAAACCAAATAATTGCAGGAAAGCCCAGGAAAAGAGCAGGTAATTAATCCAAGTTCACTAGAATAATCACATTTCTGTCAAATACTGAAAGCAGGATTTCTGCTAAGGAGGAAAACTGATGAAAACTAGAAGATATGAAGGATTAAAAAAACAGTGGTTTGCTTGATGAAGTGAAGAAATAGACTCCACAGCCCTGTGAAGCTATAAAGCAGGTATTCTTTATTGTGACGCTGGGCGCGCGGGGATCGCTCCTCCAAACACACACCAACGGACAAAGACAGTACGTATTTATTTACTTTCAAATATACATATGCAATACCTAACAAAGAAACAGGCAGGATTAAACAAATTAGTTCAAAAAATTCATTATAATATTTAAATTGTTTCCCAAAATCATTAGCATAAAATAACACATACACCCCCGCATGCACAGTGCCTCTCGGTGGCCGTGGGCAGGGGTCTCTTGGAAGAAGGCTCACAGTCTTTCTTGCTGTGCACTTTTCACCTTAGGCCATATACCCTACCACTCTGGCAGGTTGAATCCATCATTCTGGCATATTGACTGATGAAAGAGGCATGGATAGGCACGGACAGGCACAGCCTCATCTGGATCCTGTTTCATGGGCTCTCAGGCAAAACACATCCAATTCCTGCACAGTGTCTCTTGCAGTGCTAACCATCAAAGCAACACAGAAACACTAACCCTCTGTCATCACTGTGTAAAACTGTTAAGTAGGAATAGTAGCAGAACTGTTGAAATTACTACAAAGGTGATGTGAACCCATTGGCTGAGCAAGAACAGAAGCTGCAAGTCCATTGCACACACTCTGTGCTCTGGTTAGGACTCCATTGCATGCCAATGTTTACCTCTGCTACACGAGATACCAAACTTGGACTAGTGATGCAGCTCTCCCTTGTAACTTCTCACTCATAAGCAGAAGTTGAAACATCCATCTTGAGAAACCAGCAACCATCTCAAAAAGAGAGATCTAGTTATGAGTCTTTCAGAGACATTACCTGTAATGAAGTATCTTTTGTGGCAAGATAAGCATCAAATAGCAGCAGTTGGCTCAGACCTTCTGTCAGTCCATTTACTCCAGATGTTCAGCAGCAGCTGCATCATCTCCAGAAAAGCATGCATTGACCAAGTGAGTGCTAACTAGAGGATGAAAAAAGCTTCCTTTTCTTCACTGCATTAACCCCTAACATTCCTCTTCCCCCCCATCTGGGAAATTGTACAGGGCATGAGCAACACAGAAATATTATAGGTTATGTTGTATGGAAAATTTGCCTGTAATACGTTACTCATGTTGAAGAGTTTCCTCTTCGAAGAATTTCAAATTCTGGAGAGTTAAAGGTAAACTCAGTAACAAAAGGTTGAACATTTACTTTAGTTTAAAAGTCTGGTAAGTGAAAAACATGGCCTATTAATAGTTTGCAGGGCATAAGCCATAAGGTCAGAAAATAATTATTTGTATGATACAGGGAAGAATGACAACTGTGAAGATGCATCAGTATCTTATTGACATTATGCCAGAAGCTGATCTCTATTAACCTTGCAAAGACCCATACACCTGAGAGAATAATTTTCTGCATTTTTAGGAGTGATAGGAATGAGAGTTTTTCAGATGTGTGATTATGAAATCAAATGACATCTAGGAAAACCACCCTCTAGGAATAATGACACCAGGTGTTCTATAAAAAAATATACCATGTCACATTAAACCTGCCAATTCCACTTGACATTATAAAAGTGGAGTCACATTTCTAAATTAAGAAGAAAATCTAAAATGTCTAAATGGTGCATTTAGTATAACTTGATGAAAACTTTTCCACATGCTCTCAGGTTTGTTTATTTATTTTCATGGTTCACAGCATTATTTGGAAAGACAAACTGTGAAAAGTCAGAAAGTACAACTTTGAATGAAAACAAATTCCAAGAAGATACTTTTCCAAAGCACAGGCACAAGCCAACCCTAATTTCTAAGAGGTACTAAGCCCACTTGCTGCATTACACTTTTTCAGGGAAAATAATGTGCAAGGAAATCAGAAATGAGGAGAAAAAA